ATTATTTACAATAAGTTGAGTAGACAGTGGGCGGCCGAGTCCCTATTTGTGAGCACTAAAGTCCAAATCCTCTAAATCTTCAACGGAATACATCTTGCTATTTATACGCAGCTTGTCTTTAATAAGCGAAGCCTTTTTACCATTATTCTTTGCTTCTATTAGGTATGGTATTAGTTTTTTCCTTGCATCTCTTAGTTCAGGAGGAAAGTCTTCTGATAGCTTTGGACGCTTTTCATACGGTATTTCCCTGCATTTGTTTATTATTGTTTCCTTATCTAGTATACTTGTGAGCTTGATCAAGATTGGGCGAGGTTTTTGCGAATTCTGGTCTTTGTTTTGTGATTTCAAGTTTTCTACTGTTGTTTCATAATAGCTTATCTTTTTCTCAAGAGACTCTAATTTTACATTGATAGAACGAATGTTCCCTCTTTAGTCTTTACCTAGTTCTCCGATAGCTTTCAAAACATCTGAATCTCCTCGGCTTTCGAAAGTCAACCTTTTTTGCGTTTGTCTTGTGAGTCGACTTTCGTCCTCATTTCCAGGTCCTGGATTTAGCTCTATATCCCCGCACTGTTGAAGAACTATGAAGACTACGGCGATCACCAATACAAAGCGAGTATTCAAGATGGGGTTTTCCCTCTGTTGTTTTACGTGTTGTAATGTTTGTCCACATACTTCGGAACAGAAACTGGCCAATTCGGATCCTCCAAAGTCCAATCTCAATCATGTTTCGCGCACTCTGCTTAATCTATTGATTTTAGCCTATTTTACCACTCGGTTTTACTCTTGAAAAAAAATCCACCTGTCTTGGCCGAATACCGAGCCCGACCTTCACATAACACCACAAATTTTATTTCATGTTAATAAAGATAGGTATTACATGTATAATGCAATTCAAAAAATACTCAATTTCTTTTGCGTATGTAATTTTAAAACATGGGATAAATTTCCACTTTTTATAAGATCTTTCTGAGAACTTCAAAGAATCTTGAAGCAAATTGAGACGAATAAAATGAAAGTTGGTGAATGAAAAAATTCAATTTTCAAGCTTCATTTTGAGACTTTTTGAATTTAATTACTAGTATTCTTCCTTGCTGAGGATCGGAGTACCTTAAAGATCTTGTAAATAAGCAGTTCACAACTCAATACGCCGAATAGATGAAATCTCAAATGAAAGCTGGGAAAAAAATCGAAGAGATCAAAGTTGATTAAAAACTCTGTAAAGGAGAAAGGCCGAAAACTGTCTTATTCTGTGAGAGAAAGAACTAATCGGGGGCCGTAGGCCCGAGATTAGTTCTTTCGAATTCTCTCACAGAATGGACAATTTGAGGCCTTTCTCCTACTTTTAAAACATGACTGTGACGTAAACCTTTTGTTTGTGTTGTCCATTCTATAGCTTAGTGTTAAGCTAACTCCCCTAACAATCCATTAAGTTACCTGTAAGTGTCCATTCTTTTTGAAAAACTGTCCATTCTTTTTAAGAATGGACACTTTTTACTAAAAGAATGGACAGTTAAAACAAACAGAATGGAGAGTTAAGGTAAACCTTGGCATGTGCTCAAGAGGGAAACAAAAACAAATTACTACATTAAATACGATTTAATGTACATGTGAATAACATTTTTTTAAAAGAACTTTTGGGATTTAAGTTAATCAAGAACACAGTGTCTGCATCGGACATGTTCGATTTTACACATTCAAAAATCCATGAATAATGCATATTATTTCAAATCACAAAACTTGAATTTAAATGACACAATTTCACATTTGATTAAGATTTTGGAAGCACCATCCCTGTGAAAAGAATCCATTTTCAGCTTTAAGTAGGCTTATATGAAATCCATCACCCAGAAAATAGTTTGCACCATGAAAACTACACTGCTACAGTGAATATTTCGGTAGAAAATAATCAAAATTGAAACATTTCCAGATTTGATTTGATATACATTTTCAGGTCGAAATTTGGTTTATGGCTATCCTACACTCCGAACACAATTTGCATTTCAACAATACACTGCTGCAATTAATATACCCTCAAAAACTGATTTAAAATTAAAAAAAACTCCGGTTTGAATTCGAAATATCTGTATTTGTCGTCGAAGCTTCAGGAGATCAAAGTTTGGATAAGATTTTCTTTCACGCTGATTTCGATTCTGTCATATCTTCTCTTTATCGGGGAGAAACATGTTTGCCTTTACAACGCAAAATATAAACTGGTTTTGAGGAATTGCATTTTTATATATAAACTAGCATCCCCCGAAATCCACCTGTAACTGTCTATTCTGTAGACAAAGGCCTTTTGTTATTTACATCTGGAACAAACTCGCTATTCAACAAATTGATGTGCACCCCAAGCTTATCTGTAACTGTCCATTCTGTAAACAATGAATTTTATGTAATACCTGATTGTTTACATATTATTGAGATCTAAATAACCTTCCACTTTCTTCCTGGATAAAAATCACAACTCCATATTTGTGTGAATTGTCATTTATTGAAAATGACAATGAGTATTAAAGAATACAATAAATGGGGAGATCAGAAAACCTTATACAAATATTCTTTTACATAAACAAGTAAAGTTGTATAATGATCTCCCCTGTTACATGTCAAAATAATGTACGAAATAACAGAAAAAATTGTAAAACATATATACATTACAAGCAAAAAGTTGGCGTTCAAAAATAAAAACAGAAGCCCCCCACACAACCCACTGTTGTGTTTTCAGAAAAGAAGATAACATTAAATAATCAAACATGTTTTACCATAAACATAAATGTTTGATATTTGACTGATGGTGAAAGCTGGGGAAGGTGGGTGGGTGATTTCTTAAGTAGAAAAATTTAACGTGTTTTTGTTTTCCCTCTAAATCAGTGAAGTGGCGCTAATCTGAGACACAAGAAAATACACGCTTCTGATTGGTTAATGTACACAGGTTTGGCTAATTCCCCGATAGACGCCAAATACACATACATATGATATGTTTTGATTTTAAGAAAACAAAAACCTGGTACCATAAAACACATGATTACATAAATGCTATTATTTGACAATAATGCTGTATTATGTAATACCTGCTTGTTTACATATTATTGAGATCTAAATAACCTTCCACTTTCTTCCTGGATAAAAATCACAACTCCATATTTGTGTGAATTGTCATTTATTGAAAATGACAATGAGTATTAAAGAATACAATAAATGGGGAGATCAAAAAACCTTATACAAATATTCTTTTACATAAACAAGTAAAGTTGTATAATGATCTCCCCTGTTACATGTCAAAATAATGTACGAAATAACAGAAAAAATTGTAAAACATATATACATTACAAGCAAAAAGTTGGCGTTCAAAAATAAAAACAGAAGCCCACAAAAGGCAAACCACGTTTGCAAAAACGCCAACCAAAGTGGACTAGCCATCTAAGGGTAGACCACACAAAATGCACTTATGGTTTTGGCATGCAGACAAATATCAACACTATTTTGACACATAGTTTTTGTAAATCTTAACATACAAGAAAAGAAAAAAAAATGTAAACAGTTAAACAATTCACTCTGTTTGTAAAAAAGGATAATTAATGCAGATGTAAATTTTTGGAGACTAGCTTTCACAACATTGCATTTTGACCCATACATTACATTATTTATAATAGCAAAACATGAGAACCAGCAGGCACAGCTGGAAAATTTGGGACTAGATTAATACATGGCACTACACATATTTGTGAATAACAAGGCAAAAAACATTTTCCAAATATAAACATCACTATGTATTTACATGAACACCTGTTTGCACAGCAGTTCACTACTGACCTGTGTATAGTTTAAGACACCAGCAGTTTACTTCTGACCTGTGTATAGTTTTAGTCACATAGCAGTTTACTTCTGACCTGTGTATAGTTTCAGTTGCACCGCAATTTACTTCTGACCTGTGCACTTGTAATAATTGGTTTTTTCAATCCCCTAGCAGTTAACTTCTGACTGGTGGATTGAAAAAACACCCCGTTTAAAGTTCTTGCATATTAGTAGTTAACCTGTACTTACTTCTTATTCCAAGAAAGATAGTTCTGCATTTTGATAAAGTTTCTATATTTTAAAGCTTTCGAGGCGTACATACTTACGAATGGCATCTGAGTTCCATCGGCCCAATTTTTGAATACTGTTTTCCGAAAAACCTAACTTTGCAGCATGTGTAGCTGCTCCTATCCTGAAACTATGGCCTTTGTACAGAGCAGGATTGAGACCAATGAATTGAATTGTATTTTGAAGATATTTTGCTACAAAAGAATATGGGACTGGTTTCCCCTCAATGAACTGGTAAAGAGGCCCGGTGTGATGACCAAACATATTCACATATTCATACAAGGCATTCACGGGGCACATGATGTTGTTGTCTTTTAAGGCCTTCAAGTGGATCTGGAAGAGGTCCTTTGTTTTATTTGTTTTAAAGTGTTTTAAGACAATTACAACTTCGATGGGTGAGTTCTCATTTAGGGTAAATGAAGTATCTTCTCGTTGGATGACTGTGCTAGCTAGACTTTTTGCCTTAACTACTACTTCCCCTAGCCGTAAAAATGCATTGAAAGCAAGAAGAAAAATTGACTTTAAAAGAATTCTTTGCTGCTGATTCAAAACAGAGCACTGAAGCCCTTGAATTAACTTGTGTAAAATGGGACCTGTGATTGGTAAACGTGAATCTTTACACGGGGCTGAATGGCGACAGCCTTGCATGACCTTTTTTACCAGAAATGCATCCGATGGGTCTGTTGTCCCTAACAATTTATGTACATAACTAATTGCTGATACATGTGTTGCAATGCTATTTGGAGAATATCCGTTGTCAAATAGGTAAGAAATAAAGTTACATAATGTAGATGGTGAGACAGGCAAGGATTTGATGGAGGGAAATGTGCTCACTAGCATGTCCCATGATCTTTTGTAGGCTGCGCTTGAACTCTTTGTAAGAGCTTTTGACAGAAGATTGCAAGCTGATGAGTTCAAATGTTCAAACTGGCTTGAGGGATTTGTGTCGGCTGATGGGTTAAGTGAGGTGCAGACTGGAAAGCTGCCTGAAATTGAAAACGGGAGAGGCGATCAGCAGTGATATTATGCTTTCCCGGAATGTGTTTTGCTCGGAAATGAATGTTGTTTTCTAAGGTTGCTAAAACTAAGCGGCGCACTAATCTCATAATTGTTTTGTCTTTTGATGTTTGTTTGTTAATGATTTGTACTACTGCCATATTGTCAGACAGGAATAGGATTCTTTTATTTTTGATTTTGTTCCCCCATATTTCTATAGCTAGTACAATGGGAAATAACTCTTTGACTGCTATTTGACAATCATTTTGTAAAAAGTCCCAGTGAGATGCAAACCACTCATTACCTAAAATCGCCGCAAAGCCCAATGACCCTGATGCATCTGTGTAAAGGGTAAGGTGATCTGTGGACAACCACTTTTGAGGAAGAAAAACTGACTTCCCGTTAAAGCAGCTTATGCAAGACAGCCATGTTTCCATATCTGCTTTTGTTTCCCTAGTTAAGTGAATGTGTGATGCAGGTTCAGTTACTCCATAAGTTAGATCAATCATGCGTCGGAGAAAAGCACGCCCTGGAACCACTACTGAGCACGCAAAATTGAGTAAACCAATCAGAGATTGAAGTTCACGTAATGTAGTTTGATCTTTTTGTAAAAGTTCTACCAAATGCATTTTAATCTTGTTAATTTTGTCCGCTGGTAGCCGTGCTTCCATTTTGTCGGAATCAATTTCAATACCATAGATTATAATTTTTGTAGTTGGAGTCTGTGTCTTTGACATTTTGATAGGGACACCAATATTTTTGCACAGAAAGAGGAAATTTGTTAAGTCATTCTTACAGCTTTCAGAGTTCGCAGGTCCAATAAAGAAGAAGTCATCCAAAATATGTGACATTCCACCAGCCCCGAATTTTGACTGTAGTATCCACTGTAGAGCTACACTGAATTTTTCAAATATCTGGCAAGAACTACTTGCCCCCATTTGGAGACATTTGTCAAAGTAATATTTTCCTTGCCAAGAAAACCCTAGTAAATGATAATCTTCTGGGCAAATTGGAATGATTCGGAATGCATCTTCAATATCGGTCTTTGCCATCAGGCACCGAAGGCCATGAGTTTGCACTAAATTTATAATCCAATCAATTGAGTCATAATGAACTTCTGAATTTTCTTTTGGAATATGGGTGTTAATAGAATTTGTTTTTGGATAAGAAAGATCATGAATAATACGAAATTTTCCTGGTTCTGATTCTGGTATGACACCTAAAGGGGATGACACAAATGGGTCGAAAGGAGGGTTTGGGAAAGGTCCTGCTATACGATGGAGCTCAAGGCCCTTTTGTATGTGATCTTGTATGATTTCTGGGTGATTTTGAGCTGATTTATGGTTTTTTGACAAAGACGCTGTAGGAGTGTTTTCACATCCCAGGGAAAATCCGAAACTGAAACCTTTTACCAAATAATCTCTCAATTGGTCATCGTAACCCCTTAAATGGTCATTTAGTTTGTTTGCCTTTACTGGGGTTGGGAGAGGTCCTATCATGTTCAGATTTTTCTGTAGATTTACATTTAATTTTGGGGTGATTACCTCTACAGGCTTGGCAAATGTGGGTGAATGGACAGGGGGTTGACTTACATTTGTTACCTTGGTTATAGGCGAAGCAGAATCTGACCCCACCGATTCTCCCCACCTGTTTCCCACGAAAAGGCTGCCCATTAGATTGTTTTGTGGAAACAGCTAATGATTTACCACGTAGTTCCTCCACTGGCTTTTGCCATGGAAGGTTTACTGTCTCCCTTAACTTCCTGAAAGACTCATCGTATGATCGCCACGCTGAATCCCCATGAAGTTTTTGTAGCTCCCTTATGAATGACATGTACTTAAGCAGGTGGGGAGCCTCAGTGGGTTTCTGTTGTATAACGATACACGTAAAAACCAGAAAGGCATCTGTCCATTGGTTGATGGACAGAGGTGTTTTAGACTTTTGACTATGTTGCAAATTTATTACCCCTGGTGTGATCAGTAAGGTCACTGGGTCTTCCTCTTGGTGCGTCAAGAGACTACGCAAATCTATAAATTCATTTGACCATATTTTTGACTTAATTTTGTTAGGTACGGTTGCACCAAGAGGAATGCCATCAGTGATTGATATGTAATTACTTGTGTTTTTATTGGGTGCTGTGCCTGCTGGCTCACCTTCAAATATCCTAGATACCAGTTGTGACACTGTTGCTGTTGTGTCAGCTTGTGACCCTGAGGTAGCATCTTGTGTCGCTGATGTAGACGCTTGTGACCCTGCTGTAGAAGCTTGTGACCCATGTAGCAGGCTATGATGATATTGAAGCTGTTGTATTAACCTGTGATATTGTCGTTGATGCAGAGGTCTGTTCCTGGTTTTTTTCTTCACCAGTCGACTGAGGTTGGTGCAAACTTTGTTGCCGTAGGATCTCTGCGGCAAGTTTTTGATAGTCAATGGGGACTTGGTCTGCTTTTGTGGCCCCCGAAGCTTGATTTGGCTTCCGACGTTTTGCGGATGGCGCATCCATACCCTGGCCGTCTGTCTGTTTGGAAGTCTTTTTCCTAGGCATGACTCCTACAAAATGACTTCACTGTTTTAATACACTATGATATGTCTAAGCTAACCTAAGATGTGCCTTATATATAATAAGGCAAACAGATATTATTTCTTCTCAGGACTTAACACATCATTCTCAGTGTGTGTCAAGTCCGATATATCATTGATAACTAATCAAACTTGATATTTTTATCTCTACATAAATTTCGGAACCATTGGACTGCATCTGTTATTAATTACTCAACTCAGATTTATGCACTCAGATGTTTGAGATCAAAATTTATGTAAACTTTACTGCAAATCACAAAATATTATATGCATTATGCATATAACATATAGGCAACATCAATTGTGACAACCAAAGCATATTGCTTTAATTGTATGACTACCAAGTACAGTAATAAAATCAATTTTCACAGTATTCTACATCAAGTACACGCCATGAATCTCTTAACATACTACTCACAGAGAGACTAATACATTTGTATGAATAAAACTAATGCACACTACTCTGCGTGTGACTCAACTGATGCACACTACTCTGCGTGTGACTCAACTAATGCACACTACTCTGCATGTGACTCAACAAATGCACACTACTCTGCGTGTGACTCGACTAATGCACACTACTCTGCGTGTGACTCAACTAATGCACACTACTCTGCGTGTGACATAACTAATGCACACTACTCTGCGTGTGACTAAAATAATGCATAATACTCTGCATACGCTTAAACTGAATCAGACTACTCTGCGTGAGGTTAACTTAATGTACACTACTCTGCGTGTGACCATACTGAATTCTGACATGTAATAGAGTTACAGATCTATAGTTAATATAATTAAAAAACACTGGCTTATCTGGAATGGTGAAGAACTGCAATACGAATGCTGTGGAGGTATTTTTTCATGTGCCTGGATGTTCCCTCTATGTGTACACCATCACGACCAAGATAAGACAGGTCCGTCCAAAATCCACGATGTTGCCAATAATAAATGTTTTCTAGGGTAGCAGTTCCTTCCTTCAATTTATTGTTAACGTATATGACGTCTTCGTTATACCCTGGTCTGGTCGCCCATGGCTGTCGACGTAACAATTGACCCACTATAACGTTTTTGATTCCCACGCCGTCACGTAAATATTGGGCATATGAGAGTAAATCTGTCACCACTTTGTGGGGTTGTACCCGGCATAAATCGTTGCCGCCCATTTGCAGAAAGCACACATCGGGGGGAGGTTTGGGGAAATTAGTGAATTCCGCGCACTGTGCTAGACGTTGAAAGGTTAGCCCCCCTCTAGCTTGAAAGTCCACAAAATATCGTGTATTATCTAATTGTAAATTAGCATAGTTTTCATTAGCTGCGATAAATTCACCTAACCGGCGAATGTATGAATGTCCCATGATTCGAACACGAATCTTCGCACCTTCCGCCATCGTGTTGTGGGCTTTTTGGACGGAGCTGTCGCGAATCCTGGATTCGTTAAAAAGTCACCAATAAGAACTTACTTCACTGTCTAGGTCTACTAGAATCCAGATAAAGCTATTTACTGATGGTCTACTATAGGAATCTTACAATTCCAAAGGAAAACATGGTGATTTCTTGATTTCTTAAGTAGAAAAATTTAACGTGTTTTTGTTTTCCCTCTAAATCAGTGAAGTGGCGCTAATCTGAGACACAAGAAAATACACGCTTCTGATTGGTTAATGTACACAGGTTTGGCTAATTCCCCGATAGACGCCAAATACACATACATATGATATGTTTTGATTTTAAGAAAACAAAAACCTGGTACCATAAAACACATGATTACATAAATGCTATTATTTGACAATAATGCTGTATATTGTATATGTGCTTCCTGTTTTGCACATTTTTTGTTTTGATTTTTAGAACAAAGAGAATCATGTTTTAAAGTGTGAAAAGAACTCATGCCAACTGGGTTATCAAATTGATGCTTTCCGTGATCTGTCTAGCCAAAGGGCAATTATCACAAATGACTGGGACAGATCAGGATTCGGACATAATAAAGAGCTATTGTCTAGTTAACCAGGCTATCTATAACACTTCTGAAACAATTACAGCACAAGCTGATACATTCAATGACATTTTGAATCATTTTTAGCTCACCTGAGCCGAAGGCTCAAGTGAGCTTTTTCGATTAAAATTTGTGCGTTGTTTGTCGTCGATGTTGTTTATCGTAAACTTTCCACATTTTCATCTTCTAAAGAACAACTGGGCCAATTTCAACCAAACCTGCCACAAAGTATCTTTGGGTGAAGGGGATTCAAGTTTGTTTAAATGAAGGGCCAAGCCCTCTTTCAGGGGGAGATGATTGTGAATTAATGAAAAATTTATGGTATCTTTTCAAAATCGTTTTGTCAAGAACGATTGGGCCAGGAAAGATGAAACTCGTGTGGAAGCACCCTCAGGTAGTGTAGATTCAAGTATAAAAAATCATGATCCCCGGGGGAAGGGCTGGACCACAATGGCTGATCAAAATTTACATTTGAATACGTAGAAAAAAATCTTCTTCTTCAGAACCATTGGGCTAGGAGAGGTAAAAATTGTGTGAAAGCATCTTCAGGTAGTGTAAATTCAAGTTTAATCAAATAACGTCCCAGGGAGGGGGGGGAGCGTTGCGAGGGTTCACAATGGGAGATCAAGTACTATGTTGGGAAAATCTTTTTTTCAAGTATGGCAAAATTTAAACGTGTACGCTCTATTGATATAATGACATTTTCAAGTAATAAAAAATTCAAACCCCCTCCCCAAACAAATAAACTTTTCAATACTTCCCTGATTTGTGTTTTTGACTAGCCCATGTGCTCAGGTGAGCGATGTGGCCCACGGGCCTCTTGTTGATTTGCCATTTGTTTTATTTCACAAGTTCAATTGACGTTTCAGTGAATATTGAGATTTAACATTACGAAAAGATATTGTTTCTGGGGGTATTCTCAGATTTTATGCATGACACATATGGAGATAACGAACAGTATTCAAGATCAAAAGTCCATAAAACAATACAAAATAGGAGCAGAGCAAACACGGACCTCCCAAACATCAGAGGTGGGATCAGATGCCATGGATGAGTGAACGTCCCCTGCCGAGCGGTTACACCCGCCTTGTGCTCCTTGTCATAATGGGGAAATAATGAAAAAGTCCATCGTCAGTGTATAAATAATTGACTAAATTACACTGTTTCAGAAATAATCTGCACCGGAAAATGATCTCATTAGATAGGTAAAGCAAACCAGACTTTTTTGCATTACGTCATAAATTTTCTCATGTATCCACTTGGAGCTTACGTGTAGATTGCCAAGTACACTAAGTACAAACTTGTAGCATATACTTTTTAACTGCTGTTTATTCTTTATAGAGTGTGCGCTTTTCTAAAACTTGATTAGTTAATGCAAATACTGACATGAGAATTGAACGTCGGTAATTAGAAAATATTTAAATTTATAAGGCGTTCACATCACAGTATCTAGATTTTCGAAACATGCTTATAGGAGACCCTTCTGCGCTCACCTCGGTGTTTGCATTTATCATGGACGCCATGAGGATACAGTCCCGGTGTGACAGAGGTTTGAAGGATATGGAGGCTTAGAATTGATGGTGCAAAAGTTTTCATTAAATCTTGACCACGAGCTGTAACGGACACAATTAAACATACACAGGATATGGGAAAATGATGTGCAGTTTATTGAGGTTGCTCCCACGTGATTCGCTTCTCATTAATATTCATAAGATACTGCAAAAGCTGATTAATTTTTTTTAAAATAAAACATGTAAATATTTTCTGTTTTATTTCTATATAAGTCCCCTTCATAGTTATATGGCTAGTAATTTGCGTGATTGTTCAGTTGGCAATTATAATGATACCGTTTGTTTTAATAATTAGGTCACACGGATGCAAGAAATCGCGTTTTTAGGTCACCTGAGTAAACTCAGGTGACCTATTGCTATCCGTTTTCGTCCGTCGTCGTTCGTCGTGCGTCGTGCGTTAACATTTGAACATTTTCAGCTTCTTCTCTGCAACCACTGAACCAATTTCAACCAAATTTGGCACAAAGCATCTATGGGTGAAGGGGAACAAAAATTGTGAATTTCATGATCCCTGCCCCCCTGGGGCCTGAGGGGTGGGGCCAAAACCCAAAATTAATGCAATCTTTAAAAATCTTCTTTACTCCTGGACATCAAGCAATCGAACTGTTTGCATGATTGTAATCAAGAATGAGTCCTCTACCAAAATTGTGAAATTCATGGCCCTGGGGTCAGGGGTTCTAGTGCTAGGGCAGGGCTAAATAAGTAGGTAGTGAAAATGCATTATTTCTTTGAAAATCTTCTTCTCTGCTCCTGGGTATTAAATAAACCAACAAAGTACATAGTTATGATGAGCAAGAGTGCCTCTACCAAAATTGTGAATTTTATGGCCCCAGGGTCAGGGGTTCTGGTGTTAGAGCGGGGCTCTATTAATTATATAGTGAAAATACATTATTTCTTTGAAAATCTTCTTCTCTGCTCCTGGGCATTTAATAAACTAACTAAGTACATAGTTATGATGAGCAAGAGTGCCTCTACCAAAATTGTGAATTTTAGGGCCCCAGGGTCAGGGGTTCTTGTTTTAGGGTGGGGCTCTAATGATTATATAGTGAATTGCATGAATTCTTTGAACATCTTATCCTTTGCTCCTGGTTAATATGCTAATGATCTAATTATATATTTAAGGCCAGGATTTATTTTATTTTCAGTTGTACAAAGCCTCCGCTCAAGTTTTTGAATTTTCAGAAAAAAATAAAACAATTTTTTTCTTTCCGATGTCAGATATGAGTCGGGATCGAGATTTCAAATTCACGAACTCGCACTTCCGGTTTTAAGATGAAACGGCGGGTAAATAAAGCTACAGGTAAACTTCGTTATCTCGACATCGGCGGGACAATCGGGAAATGTCGAGATATCAGAGGTGAGACTCGACGTCCTTAATTTAAGAACTCCGTAGTAAAACATGTACGTGTAATTACGTACATGTCTTCAATAGACTGCAGCTCGTTTGTTTTATGTATGATCTCTCTATATTTATTAGGAAATCTGTGGAATTATTCACAAATGTAATTTAATAAAATGTTTCCCTTTTTTATAGAAATCTTCTAATTTTACTAATAAAAGTTTTCCATCCAGCATTCTGCGAATCCGCGTGCAACTTGCTTCGTCAGAACAGGATACGAAATGCGCTCTATAAACTCCGAATCGAATCGGTATAAAGTTGACTACCGTGATACAAAAAAAAAAATTAGTTCGTATTTCTAAAAGTTATTTCACTTCACTTCATTTTGATATCATCATCTTTCGTCATTATTTTTCATTTCATTTTCAAATCAAAATTTAAAAGGATTTGCGTATTGAAACAAGCGCAATGATGTAACACATGCATGGCTATCACGACTATAGTAGTCGTGCGCACCATAAATTGGATTGTTTCCTGTTGAATGCATTTTTACCACAATTTCTTAGTTCAATTGAATTTAATGTGCATACTTTTCATTATAATTTAGCTTTTTTTTCCATAAAATGTTAAAGTTATGTTATATTTCGGCACCCAAAAGGTTGTACATTTACGCAGAGTCGAGCAGATCTATCAATGATATTACCCAAGCCGAACAAGTTAACCAGCTAATATTAAACAATTAACGTCTAAGAGACACTGAGGATGTTTGAGAATCCTGTACAAACACATTGTTACAGAAGCAGTATGTAGTCGAAACATGGGTGTGAAAGGTGTGAATTTCTTACGACGTCGAGATACACGGAGTCGTCCGTGCGTGACGAGCGACCAGCTGACAAACAATTAGGCTAAGTAGAGCAGAAAATTACCTCGATGTCGACATATACCAGATAAATTTTGCTCTTGGGACTGTGGATATACGTCGAGATAAGCGGGGTAGTCGACATTACCGAGGTCGACATATCAGAGTTTTTGCAAATCATTTATATAGTAAATAATGCCGGGACCGTGGGCGGACGTCGACATATCCCAGGTTGTCGACATATCCGATGTCGAGATACGGAAGTTTACCTGTACATATGTCTGAGAAGATAGCTTGGTTTAGTGTAAAATTCATCGATACGAGTGCCATTCAAAACGTTTCACCCGTTCAAAGGACAAATAAAATGCTGACGACTTTGTTGCACAATGACATGCTGGTGAGATAATTATGTATTCGTTTCAAAAGTTTCTGTCTGTAAATTATTTTCCTCCCCCAGGTTTTAAACTGCCCGTGGTAGCTATTGCATATTGCCAGCGACATTGTTTAGGTCTCTGTTATAGCTTACAATCTAAGCATCATTCTTCAGATAAGGGTTGCTTATGCATCAGATGTAATGAATAAAACTATGGGAGAAGTTAAGTCCATTTGAGGTCAGAAGAAATGAACAATAACCTGAAGAAATAAAAAAAAATTCAACTATTAAAAGGCAAGAATATACAAATATATACAGGCATGTAGTATCATTTGTATCAGCCAGAGAAATTATTTTACACTTAATTGAAAAAATGTTCACCGTACTCCCCAATACTCCCTGTCTGTTTTATGATAGGAATTATAATTTTAGGCATCAAGTAATTTTAGAACAATGTCTACTTATTCACCTAACACATATTAAAAAAATGAAGATATATTGAAAGACTTTTAAAGAATTGATTTTTTAAAATATATTTTGACCAACATCACAAAATTTATATAACTGGCTCTAATTGGCAGATGATGAAATAAGCAATTAAATGTTCTACTTTCCTATTTGTAAGCATTATGTGTCCAGTGGTAAGGAGCCTATTAGAATAACATAAAAAAAGAATGTACAATTGATTTATCAAATTTTTTTTTTATTTCCTTTTCCTTTGGGACTTTTTTATTCTCATGTTCATAACTAAACCTAAACATAAAAAAAAATGCTGGCCTTATAATGAAGAGAGGGTCTTCTTTCAAAATAGATAAATTCAAGGCCCCTGGGTCAGGGGTACCATGGGGGTACTTTGACTAAAAATAAATTAATGCTTTGAAATCTGCCCTTTGATAAGCAATGGTGCCTCTTTCAAAATTTGTGAATTTCATGGCTTTTGGATTAAAACACAAACCAAATACGATCGCTGGAAAGTTGTTACATGATACTCAGGTGACCTATAAGGCCCGTGGGCCTCTTGTTAAGTTTAAAAGGAGGTCGTAACTCTTTATAAAATGTTAAAACATTTATATTTAGTATTGAAAAACGACATTCGACTCCACCTTTGAATTGGCGGAGGAACTCTGTCATCATGCAATAAACACTTACATTTTTTCACAAAAAATGACAAAGACACTAACTCGGTTCTTTTTTCTTCAATAAAATATTGAAGTTAAATTTCTTTGATCAAGCTTTTAATTATACAACCAGTGTTTAAAATAGTCTTTTCAATTGTCTAAATGTTATATCCTATGTTCAGCGAATGTTTCAAACGTTCAGAAGATCCAGAGCTAAGTGAGCAGATCTTGGGAAAGTATTTAAGCGAGCTCATTCTAGGCCCGGTGTTCAGTTATTGAAAGGTCGTTGCAGAGAGAGGACGTCTCACTTGGTAAGGTATTTGTGTTAGCTCATTTGCGGTGCCGCAATGTTCTGTAGACGGACCATTTCAGTTACATAAATCCTTACGGGTAACAAAAAGAGTAAATTACTATCAAATAAACAGGTGTTTGAATCCCAGTGTTCAAAACTACAGGTCTGGGAGCTAGTGCTCAATCAGAGTGTCAGACCAGGGCTCAGAACTAAATGTAGAAGATAATTAAAGAACATTAGAATTATTATATAGCAGACCAGTTTGAATCATTGTGTTGTTGATTAATAATGATTATGTTTGTTCTTTTATTATAAAAATCAACTAAATACGTCAAGTAACGTAAGGAAAATTCTTTATCTACACTTTATCCGTGGTCGAACCCCCCAAAACACAATTCAAAATGTACTTCGAATTTTCAAATAAAAAGGCGGTCGCAAATTTCACTTTGGCATCCACATTATTATCTTCTGTAGAAGATATAAAGAAAAAAAAATATCGGCGGAAGAAATTTATCCAAAATAGTTAGTACATCAAAAGAACTATATGCTGTATAATGCATATATTTGCCCCCACAAAAGTAAAATTTTGAAAACTTCCTGAAATAAGACGTCACAAACTAGTTCAATTTTATATCCTTTTACAGAAAGAGGACAAAATGGACAAAATTTCAACAATTTTAGCTTTAAAATTTATAGAGCGCAAGTTTGTTCAGGAACAATATTGACATATTTCATTGATATTATCATTCTACACCTTATATCAAAATATTGATCCTGAACACACATGCGCTTGGTGACGTTTACTCAAAATATCGACGAAATATGTACATTTTTCTGTAAAATTCATAAAAAACTGAAATTTACGTCATGTTTGTGACGTCATTACGTACATATGGCGTCATTACTTATAAAAATATTCAGTGCTTTGAAGTCAGCATATACTCCCCTGTTTAAGAACTTAATTAAAAATATCTCCATCAAAGTTTGATTTGGGGGGCAAATATTGGTTATTACCGAATAAAGTTCTTTGCAATTTTTTGTACGTTCTCTGTATAAACCTTTATGGAATCTGTCGCCACTATAGCTCCAATATGGCGAATGTTATGTTATGAGCAGAATGAACACCATTTCTCCATATGCGCACAGTAGCGATGCTTTATCCCCTCCGCAATTACTAAATTACTAAAAATAAAGGTTTTGAACGATGGGAGATAAATAAGTTCAGTAACCTAAGAAATGAATATATGTGTAACTTGACAGGTTTTAGATGTCTTCAACTTTTCCAAAGAGGTTCTGTGACTTGGATAGTGGTATGGTGCTTGTCTATTAAATAGCTAACGAAAAATAACACTAACTTTCTTGGAAGTTTTACTTTGATTTACTTCTTCGTTTCGACTCTATACAGGAACATTTAACAAATAAGTTTACATCTGATTAGTGATATATGAAGAACAAGACGTCCTCGAGCCAATGCTCACTAGTAATACCCCCGCTCGCATGAGAATATACACTATCGTGTTAATATACAAAAGTTCATTTACAGGTAGAAGCATGGATAAATAGGAAATTGAAAGAAAATTCATATTAAAATAATACCCACCATATGACCTGCCTCAACAAAGTATATGCCAAAATCTCAAACATCTGTAATGAGACGTTGCTGAGAATACTGCGAAGAAAAATTGTTATATCTGGTACTGACAGACGCACGGATAAACAAGAAGTTGACATCGGATTTGAACAAAAATATTTCCCACCATATGGCATATCTCAGGAGAGAATGTGCTAAAATTTCAAGCATCTGCGATGAGAAGTTGCTGAGAACACCGCAAAAATTTTTTATGGCCAGAAACACGGATAGACAGACAGACCCACAAGGGGAAAACAGTATCCCATTCTCTTTCGGAGCTGGGTGTAAAAATTATTTTATTTTTAAGCAGATTCTTTTCGAACCAGCAATAAATTGACGGCAATCTCTTTGTGCATGTGACTGAGCATGCTCATTGATTGCTAGAAATTTCGCGTGCCTTGAATTGCACTTGATAGGACTGAGGTTGAAGTACGATGCCAGGCACCATTGCTCGTGGATCAAGGTGAGTTGTAGATTGGCCAGATGGCTTGATCACCGAACAAGTTTGCATCAATGTTGCTAGAAAAAGGAATGTACGGTTTTTTGCGAACACTTCTCCCACACATGACCGTTTGCCAAATCCAAACACCAGCAGCCTACGTACAGAGAAAATGTTATATTAGGTAGAAACTAAATAATGATGGAGAATAATAAACTTTTAAAATGGAAATAAATATATACCTTTTTCTAGAGGGATGTGTTGCTGGTAAAAGTAATCCAGAATCGTCAAGGAACCGCTCAGGTCTAAAGACGAATGGGTCATCCCATTCTTCGCTATGATGTACAGTCCACAGATTTGTTAGTATCTGTAAACATCAGGTATCGTCATAATATTAAATACATTATAACGATATACTAGTAAATTAAAACTGTTCTTTTCAATTTGTAATAAATTACCTTTCAAATATAAAAATATGAACCCATCAAACTGAATAAAAAGAGAACATGATTTGAATTCTACCTATTATAACATTCTTTATGTGCTTTTATTGCATTTTCAAAAATATCTTTAATTTATTATTATCGCATTTCAAAAGTGTAAAAGTAAAAACATATTTGCTGTTACTGAGCAAAATATATTACAATGTGGTCATTTATCAAACACCAATGTTTGATCTCAGAATATTATTTAGTGATCATTCAAAATTGGAACTAAAAACTAGAGATACTGTGAGCACAGACCTCACAAAATAATACCCCTGCCTTCCATATGAATATTGGTTTTTTCCATACTTTGGGGGAACATAAATAAGTGTCACCTCCTATTTTACTTTCTGATCGGACACCTATTTTGGGTCTTTCATAGCAAAACATGGACTAGGTCATTACAATCAAATTGGATATCATGTAATTCATTACATCATTGGAATGTAATTTTGTATATATTCTCACTCTAAATCTTCCAAAAAATTTCTACATTAAAGTTTCATAGTAAACTAGTGCTAATTGTAACGGGAACCGTTACAGATGTTCCCCAAACGCTCCCCATTTCCCTTTTGTTGCCTTATTCCCTGTAAGCTTGATTAAATAAGACAAACGCGATACATTTAAGACTTTAACAAAGTTTTACCAGAAGTATTCAATTTAAGCATTGCACGCATGCGCATTTGAATGCATGTGCGTAATGACCATATCATCTTGTCTACACTATTGATATATTTTAATATACTAAATATTACAGCATTTAATCCAAAAATATGTTGAATCTAGTGTATTTGGAATTTTACTCATTTCACGTGCACGCACGTGCATGCATGTGCATGATGACCATTACCTGATGTAGGAGTCTATAATATCTATCTATGTTCTGAATCCCATCCTGTTTGGTTGAAAATCAAGGGAGTTATAGCCATTTAAAGTTTGAGCCAATCAGATTGCAGCGCACGTGCATGCGCGTGACTTGATTAAAATTACTATATATCATATTGTAGGATATCCTAAAGCATGCCTTTGTTTTAAATTTCAAAGCATTTCGTCAAAAAACAAAAAAGATATTGAGATTTTTGTTTCAGCCAATCAGAGCGAAGCGCACGTTCATGCACGTGCAAGTATGTTCATGATGACTATACCTTCTTCTAGGAGTCCATTATGTTTGTCTACGTTCTAAATCCCATGCTGTTTGGTTGAAAAACACGGGAGTTATAGCCATTTAAAGTTTGAGCCAATCAGATTGCAGCGCACGTGCATGCGCGTGATTTGATGAAAATTCTTATATACCATATTGTAGAATATCCTAAAGCATGCCTATGTTTTAAATTTCAAAGCATTTCGTCAAAAAACAGAGAAGATATTGAGATTTTTGTTTCAGCCAATCAGAGCAAAGCGCACGTGCATGCGCGTGAGTTCGTGCGAATTTGACATTATCACATTATCTACACTACTAATCTATCCTTATATAATGAGTTTCAAATCATTTCATCAAAAAATGTAAAAGTTATAGCTATATTAAGTATATCAGTCAATTCACTCATTTCACGCGCACGCACGTGCATGCGTATGCGCGCAAAATGACCTTCGTTCCGCACACCTACACTACACACCTATTAACCCTAAAAAGGTTTTAGCTCAGTTGGGTGAACAGTTTCTGAGAACACTCGCGGACAAAAAAGTACCGGAGAACAAATAAGAAAAAAAATAATAATAATAATAATAATAAGAAACAGAGTAAAAACAATATGTTCCCAAACTCCGTTTGGGGAACATAATTAAGGTATTGAATATAGTAAACTATAGTTTAGTTAACTATAGGATTTGGGGGTGGGGATGCTCAAGCTGCAGCACGGTGGTCTCGCATGCTGCAATAAATTGACCTGGGGGAGTGGTTTTTAACTAAAGATACAATTTAACATTTAATCTCTGGTGTTTATAAAACGAGATTTATTTTCTTTTTTTTTTTGAAAATCATTAGATATTTGTTAGTAATATTTCAAATATTTGTAAAATACTGGCTGTTGTGTTTCTTTTGCGTGTCAGATTATCACTTCAGATACCCATAACTATGTAGCCGATTAAAAAAATCACCTAGTACTTTCCACTGACAAGAATGCATTCCCGTTTTATTAGGAAAAACTCTTTTGCCCTTTGTTAAAATATCGGACTATCTCGGGTAAATCAAAGTATCATTTATAGAGCAATGTTTTGAGTACAATGTATGCCAAATTCAGTTCTGCGTGAAAAAAATATCGGACAGTTTTTGGCCCTACATAACCTCAAACTATCTTTTTCATACAGAACTATATTTGGTATATATTCATTATAAAAGCCTTTATCACCTGGGAGTTCATGATTCGTAGTTGTATCGATACGCAAAAGCATGCTCTACGTTTGAATACTATATACTGGGAAATAATCATAAAAAGTTTTACTATGTTCGCGATTTATCATTTATTCGCGAAATTAAACCCATCTTGAATGCTATCATTTATTTAAAACCAGCGCGATTGGGTACTTTTTGAGAGATCATGAAATTTTTACATCATGGAATTAAAACGACTTAGTTTCTTTTACAAAGCAAGCTATTGACAAAGATGATGATGAAACAAGAATTAAATTTCAACGGTCTCGCGTAAAGTCTGGTATTAAGTTCTGTTGGTTGGTACAATGTCCTTCTCAGTAGATATAACTAATACTGAGTCGAATGCTGACAGACGTTTTCATACTTATTGTTATATGTCATTTTGACACTGCTTTGTCGACGGAGTCCCCTCCCCCTTTATGATGACAAGGAGCACACCGGTCGACAGGGGATGTTCACTCATTTACGGCACCTGATCCCACCCTCTGATGTTTTAGAGGTCCGTGATTGCTCCGATCCTAAATTGTATTGTTTGAAGAGACTTTTAAGACTGACTACTGTTCGTCATCGTCTCAAGCCACGGTTGAGATCCGCAAGTAGCTGTCCCCTACTTGTGCCTGCTTGATCACATAAATTGTCGTAATCTTAAATATTTACGCCTCTATGCTGTGACGACATGTTCAGCCAATAATAATACTTGTTTCCATCGCGATAAAAATCAATATTGACATCAATAGACGAAAATATTTCGTAAACTGCGATTGGGTATTGAAAGGTTGCGACAAACTTCATTTTTCAAACTATGCTTTACTCGCATCGGTCATGGTTTGCGACGATGACTGTTCGTTATTTCTGTATTTTTGCGTGGACCCTGAGGTCCACGCAGTAAATATATAAGCGAAGTTAAACCGGATACCATGGGCAAATGTCAGGCTACGCATGCGCTTGAATGCTAGAGAGTTCGCCCCTTAGGCATTAGACAACTTGTCCGTAGAATAATTCGCCCTATTCGAATTGGAATATGCCATTCATTGACAAATCGCGCTTTTAAATCCGCATATCGTATTTATGTATTCATTGGCGGATCCGAATTTCTGTCTGTTACATATACTTATATATACATGTACTCTCTTATACAAACTAAACATTGATTCTATGGCACAAGCATTTTAAAAAGTAAGAGTTATTTCCCGTTGGCCGCCAACTTGGTGGTCAACCTGGTTATTTTCCCTCTGTGTCCTACCAGATTTAAGGGTGTGAAGCAGAAATTTTTGGGGGAAAATCTTTATGGAATAAACATTTAAGGAATGAATTTAATAGCTACCCGTATAAACTGGGCTGGCGCAGTTTACGCTTTATAAACCGCTAAGCGGTTTATAAAAAGCATAAACTGTTCCAACGCAGTTTATACCGTATAAAATGGGTAGCTATTAAATTCATTGCTTATGATTTAATTTTCATTCATTCGATGTAAGAAACAAGATGATTGTTCTGACAAAATGACTTCAGTTTTTACAAAATTTGAATGTAACGTCAGGCGGATTGATATGTTTTTGACGCAAGTCATTGTGACGTATGCAACCCATTTTATACGATTTAAAGTAAATTTGTTATCCAATCAAATACAGCGTTACATGTACAACCAGAATTAAATTATTATGAAATAAAGGAGTATCTAACAAATGTATATTTAAAAAAAGAAACAATGCTTCCCAGCCCACAATGGTCAGTATGAAAAGTTCAAGTTGGTTGAATTATGAAGGGATATGAGCATGTTGACCCCCAATTTGGCGGCCGACGGGAAATAACTCTTGTTAATATAGGTCTATTGAAAACTATTTATTGTCAGCAAACGAAATCGGGGGAGAAGAAAAAATAATCTTCATTAGTTAAAGTCTCATGAATAGAAATCAGTAAATATTTTCAAGATTAAATTTACAGTATTAAAAATCTCTTACTCTTGTTCCCTTTTTAACTAAGCGACCCCTGATGGTACAATCTTCCAGTGTGTAATGTGGGATAGCCAATGGTGCGTGGGATATGTAACGTAGAGTTTCTAGAATAACGGCCTCCGTGAAAGGACAGGAGGGTCGGTCGTCGATGTGCGCATCTCTTTTACCAATTACGTCATCAATTTCATTCTGTACTTTATTTTGAATCTCGGGGTAATCCACCAAAAGGTTAATAAGTGACATTAAGGTGCCTCTTGTTGTTAGAAAACCTGTAATTTATCATGAATACTAATTAATTGTATTTATTGTTTAAAGCCAATTCAGCAAAATATTTCTGCTGATATCGTGAAGACTAATTTTAAAATTGCCCTGAAACACATTTATTAAGTATATAAATATTAAATCGCTGGATAAAGTCTCGAAGGCTTATTAAATTATAACATCTATAAAAGAAACATTTTTAAACTGTTGCATTATAGTAGGGTAGCGGAGTAAAGAGTTGATCTTGACGTCCCGTATTTGAATCTCATATAAACCGAGGTCCAGTGCCAAAATAAATGCTGGCACGAAAAAGATCACTCACTGCTCAAAGGTCCTGAGTGCCGAGTGCAGATCAAACTTTGCAGCTCTCACCTACCTAATGGTGGCGTCTCCATATGATAATGAGTGAAAAATTCTTGAAAGGGACGTTATACAACAAAACAGACTTGAACACTACCTGCTCCAACAAAATTAGTGATAATGCACTTTATTTCCTTGTCTGTAAGATGATGCCCATGCGTCTCCGCCGCATTTTTCAATTCGTAGTAAATACCCTTTTCAATATTTTGCTCTTCCTGGGGAAAAATCATGTAAGATATGCATTTGAATGAAAGAAGGAATTGAAATCTCAAATGTTTAGGTAATGAGGCTAATGAAGTTGTTAATACCTTACAGTTTAAAAATCTTACCGTTATTTGCTTTATTCTCTTTGTCATGTCTTCAATCATGGATTTAACGAGGAACGGTTTCTTGGTCATGGAAAAAGGAAGAAACCGCAGGAAAGGAAATGTTTTAAAGATGTTATCAACTAAGGGTATTGCAATGTCGTTGGAAATGTCATCCATATCTTTCATTAGTCCGTGCAGTTTTCGATCGGTAGTTCCAGCAATCTAATAAGAGTTAATTAAAGCAATAAACATTTGTTGAGTACTTGTTGACAAAAGTATTTGTTATTCTTGTCAATAACCAAAAATATATTTATATCGTTTGTATTGGCATGTAGCATATATATGCAATATTTTATAATATTCAGTAATAGACTAAACTTCTTTTTCCTAACTTAACTAAATTTATCTCGAAGAAAGAGTTTACCAGTGATGCTAAATTTTTACATAGGAAATCTTCCACCATATCATGTGGGTCTATGTCCTTCCCTTCGTTATCTTTGATGTATTGTTTAACATCCTTCAGTTTCTGTAAAATTTCTGCCTCCAACAAACGTATACCAGCTCCGTACGTATGTAAGAGTTGATGACCAATTTTACGTCGACTGGACCACTCTCTGTTGTAAGGTGAAAATACAATGTCGGAATAGTCTTCCAGGCAATACTCCCCAAAAAATGACGGTTCTCGGGAAGCAACTATACTGGCATTTGGTTCGCAGCCTAAGACGTCTCGTATGGCATCGGCTGTATTGAGCGAAATGTATGATTTCCCAAAGGCTGAAAACTGAAAAGCCTCTCCATAAATGGATGCCCATTCGGACAACTTCAAATGAAGACGATTAAAGTCTACCTGAAATGCTACTCCAAAGAATGGTATTCCTGTTGGACCGGGAAAGTTGCTTTTTAATCCATTCCTGTAGCGATATATACACAGTATCAGAATTAGGAAGACAGTTATGACCTCCAACATTTTATATCGCTTTTCTGAAATGTTTATATGTGACTAAGCTTCTTGAAGACAAAAAAAATCTTGTTTACTTAGGGTTTCTGATGAGTTTATATATCTGTTTGTACACCGAACGACAAAATGGGGGGTATTTTGTAAAATATGGATTCTTCTCTTTCGCTTGACTTATGTACAAGGATGAAACGTTTTAAAAATATTATGCTACTTTTATGAATCATGCCTCCAAACCTGTACTAGTGTTATTACTTGTTGTCCATTTAAACTTGTTATCTTAAGAGGCATTTGATAAGTAATGTTAGTCATAAAAAAAATCTTTCACTTACTGGAAAATACCGTAGTCTTGCAGATATTGAAAAAAGATCAAATCCCATCAAATCGTTTTCAAACTTTTTAGATTAATACTGTTGGACGAGAACTGATTGATGGTAGGAGATCCGTATCGGAAGAGGGGTATTTTTAATAGCTGCAAAGTAGAATGCTCTAATATTTATGCTAAGTAATATTATTATATGATTGAAAAATTTCCATCTCTCTGATTGGCTGAGATCCAAATATGTTAGAAAAATATTACGTTGTATTGACCTGCACGTGACGTTCCAGGTGAATACAAGGATTTATTTCCTCTACATTGATCTAAAAATAGATCGGGGAATTTCAAATTGATACAAATTGTTTTGGAAAGCTATTTAAACGACTTTCACTTTTTTTCATGTGAACAAAACATAAGCGAATATATATTTTTGGATGAGGGTGGTAAGAGGGGATGTAGGGACCCCCCTCCAACACTTTTACTGAACAGCAATTTTTACTTTTTGGCAATCAGTTTTCCGTGATAATACTCCTTCCTTTCAAAATCCATCCTATAAAAAAAACTGACATTATAATTTTTTTCATGGCAATTAAAATTGATTAAAAAACATTTCAAATTGATACGACTGATACGGTAAGGTTTATTTACATTTTAATTATGCGTCTCTCTTGTACATGTATTTAGCTAGGACTTGATTAAATGCAAACAAGTAATGAGCTGGATCATTTTTTCAGTGAATCATATAATAAAACAATTATTGCTGGTTTTTTTTGGTCAATACAATGATTTAGCCATCTTCGAAGTGCAATATTCACCTCGCCCTTTGGGCTCAGTGAATATTGCACTCCTCAGATGGCTAAATCATTGTATTGACCTCAAAAACAGCAATAATTGTATAATCTCCACCGCCAATGAAATTATGTTGAGATAGGAGTTTAAAAAAATCTTTTTATCTAATTTCTTCAGGAAAGTTGATAATAAAGAAATGGAGTTGTCGAATATACTATGAAAAGGGATGAAAAACGAACATGAGGCTCTACGTCCAACCGGTAATTTACATGATGCCAAATATAAAGTGACCAGCAGATCATTAAGTGTTTCCGTGACCGTTGGAGCGTCACTGTTGTTATGATTGGAGCCTAAGGCGACAAACTGTGTACAAGTTGAATATATAATAAGGAACCTGAAAGGTTAAAATATTGCTTTATGTATACTGAAAGGATTAAGAAACGCATATTAAACTTTTGAGTTTAATTAAAACAACTATTTCAAATATGTTTTCCACCATAGTTATCATACATTCTAATCCATCTTTAATCAACAAGTTACCAAAATTTTGTGTGATTTTGAGTGATAATTCCTGAGATATTGATATCAATATGTCGACGCCCCCAAAATTCTCATAATCTCCCTTTTGCATCAGTAACAAACTTGATTTTCCTGTGCATAGAGTTCACCAGAGCATTTTTCTTTTTCATAACATTATTATTCAACCCTTCCGTCGGTAGTCTTAATGGCTGAGATTAGCTGTATTATTCCAAAGCTAACAAATCCCCCCGCCCAATCGAATACGAATTTTCGATTTAGGATGGAATGTACGGAACCCAGCAGGTTTGGTACACGTGGATGTTTGTAAAAAAGTCTCGACAAACACTAACTAAATTTTTCCAGTGTAAACATGCTAAAAAAAAATCACGCAAACGACGCGTACGTGCGCGTTTGAGAGTAAAATCGACGTAAAGTGGCCAAGCTCGTGGCCCAAGTTAGAGCAGAGAGTTTCTGTCAATTTAGGATGAAAAAAATTAGTATGATTGTCTGCTGTATAAATATCAGTTTCAGTGATAATGCCTTGACAATAACCGAGGTGGCATGATGAAAATCCCTATCTTGTTGTGACGTTGTTACGCGCCAACGTCGCCATCATGGTTGGTTAGAAACATTTTAAGTTAACTCCGACAACCAAAAAAAACTTTTATTTGGTTGAAAAGTTGAAAACAATCTGTACAGCAGCATGTTTTTGCCTTTTTATTAACTTATGCAATTTTGAATTGAATTACTAAACCCACAGTAGCTTCCGTCAGCCGTACCACGATTGCAAGAAATTTACACTGACTGCAAATATGCAAAAACGATGTCTATAATTCTAATGCATCGTATGGCACTACAAAATTTTATCACAAAATTATCATCATCAACATGCACGTGTTTTTTTACTTTTTATCATTTCCCCTACGTGAAGCCATACATTTCATGGTTGAGTAGTTTTACTAGCGAATTTA